GGAAGAGTATGCCCAGACTTTTTAGGTTTTCAGCCATGTGCCGCCGCTTGCATAAAAGGGAAACAAAGACCCCGAAGCGCCTTCTTTTTTTCTGCGTTTTCAGGCGCCAAAAAATACGACCAGGCTGGTTTTTTTTAGGCTTAAAAGCTGACCCCCTTAACAGCAGAAATGAGCCCGAGCATGTGCCAGGAGTTTAATCCGAGTTAGGGTAGGAGTTAAAACGTGAAACGCAACCGCTGGGGGGGCTCTAACGTAGTGGAGACCCAGTATGCGCACTATTGGGCTCTTTCTAGAGTCCTGCTGTGCTGCAGCTTTTGTCGCGAGCTCCAGCCCCAGCAGGCAGTCGCAGAGGGCTTCGCATGCCTCTATCGCCTCATCCGCCCCTTCTTCGAGGCTGAGGATGATGGCGTCGCCGATGTAGATTGGCACTACTGTGTGCCCGAGCGTGGCCATTATTTTGTTTTCGTGACCAGCTCCGCCACTCTACACCAGCTGCCGACGCTGAATTTGTTCCCCATGTTCAGTATCGCTGCGAGGAACATGCGGTAGCGCCCTTGGGTGTCGTCCCAGACTCCCACCGGATTTTCCTCTGGGTGTTGTGCTCCTACCTGGTAGTAGGCCTTGCTCCAGTCTCGGAGTGCGACGCAAGGCTTTCTACCTGCCGGGCGGGTTTTCGTCCTCTCTTCGTTGAGGAGCCTCACCTGCTCGCCGAGTTGGCGGCTTTCGCAGGTGGCCGCGGCTTCGTCTACGCTTGTTTTTGCGCGGAAGTCTGCGACCTCTTTAGCCACCTGGCTGCAGATGTCCGTGGTGAACTGTGTCGCCGGCGCGTGTAGGGTGAGGCCCTCGGCGCCCGCAGGCGCCATGTAGCTCTTTACGATCTCCAGGACCGCTCGCGTCCCGTGGAGCCTCACTTTTTCCGTCATTTTTGAGAAGTCGTTTTTCCACCGCTCGCCGATTATCACGCGGACCTTTTCGGGTTCGACCTTTGGGAAGGCGTGCGCCGGCATGGCCTTGAGGTCCGCTGGGTTGATCTCTTTGCATCTGCCCAGCTGGGCGTCTGCCTCAATGTTTTCGAGGACTTGCCGGAGGGCTTCTTCCGGGAACCCTTTCGGGGGCGCGTCGCGGATTTTTACCGCGGTGCTGTAGAATTCTTTGAGGTCCTTTGCCTCCGCGGCATTCACGTCCGCCTTCCAAAGGCCAGTGCTTTTGTGCTCTCCTATTGTTTGGAATCCATGGAGGACGTCGCCCGGTAGCGACGTGTCCGGGTGGCCCGTCAATGCGATGAGTTTTCCCATTGCGATGACGTTCCTTGTCTTGGTTGTCTGTAGCACCCTTTTTAGGTGCTCTGGCGCCGTAGCGTTTATTAGTTCTGCACTTGCCTGCTCCGTCTGCGCTTTCAAGCGCTTGAACAAGGCGGCGGCTTGTTTCCTTCGCTTGGCTACCGCTGCCGGCTGTAGCTTCTCGGTAGCTATCAGTTGTTCCCATTCGAGTGGCAGCTTTTGGCCGTAGGTCTCGAAGTGTAGTTGTGCTCGGACCCGATTGACGAAGTTGCAGACCGCGCCATGGAGCTCGCGGCAGTTTTTGCCGTGCTCCGTCTCTGCTCGGCTGACGTTTAGTGGCGTAGCAGTCGCCATTTTTTGTGATTAGGCTTGGTTGGCCCCTGGGGGGGTTTTTTGTCGACTGTCGTCCAGGAACCTCCCAGAGAGCGTGTCTTTTCTCTCGCCTAAGTTAACTCGCCAGTTAGTGTAATCACTTCCCCCGCAAGCTCCTCCAGTGCATAAATATGAATATTATCCACACCCACCGAAACCATATCAAAACAAGTCAATTGTCAGCTGTTAGCCTTAGCCTCGTTCTTGTCTGCTTTTATCAAAATGTGTCTTGCATTGAATTGTGCATGTACTTGCACTATACAAATAATAAGTAAGTAGTTCTTCTGTGAGCAGCAGGCATCTCAATTTTATGGTTTTAATGTACCCTTTGGGAATGCCACATATGTATCAGCTGGTGGGACAAACCACCATTCTTGCGTTTCCTGATGTGGAATTTCGCCCACATCTTTGACTTTCAAGGTCGCGCGTCGTGGAAAAATGTAAAGGTTCATCATCGGCTTCGGCTTCGGCATCAAACGAACACGCTTTTTTTTATAGTAAGTCGTATGGTGTACCTCCACTGCTAAGGTCTTCGTCTCAGTATCGCCCTCCTGCGCTGCAGCATCCCCAAGCACGAGCCATCCTCGTGTAGACAACGCGCCAGTTAGCGCCTTTGCATCTGCAATTAGAGGCGCAAGACACAAGCGGAATCTGATAAGATTGTGAGGGTGCTATTGACTGGACGTGGATGAGTTGATGGATACAACTTCTAGCCGTGTTATACTCTTCAAGAAGAACGTGCTGCTTTTCATTTCTCCTACGATCAAGCTCTTTTGAAAATCGATCAGGAAGAACGAGACATCCAAGTGGAAACCCGGTCGAGCCAAAGCTACCTACCGAATCACTAGAACTGACTCAAAATAACGATCTATCTTCACACTCAAATAGTGGAGACTATTTCTAGCGAATCGCTTACAAAAACATCTCGTAACTGTTTCAAGCGAGTTTTGACATTTTTGTGTTCTTCGATCTCGTTCGTCGTCGCCGGCGATTTCGTAGAGAGAGCGGACAGGATAGGAAGAGGTCCTCCAGGAGCTCCTGTCGTAGCAGCTACGTCACGACAAATTAGACGTGACCCGGTGAAGCATTGTTCTTGTTTGCTCAGCAAAAGAATGAGAAAACGTCACACACGTTTTCTGTTGGGGTCCATGTCGTGCTGTCTCTCCATCTGAAACTGAAAAGCATGCTCCTACTGTTTCGTATGTGTGTCTTGAATGCGGATGAGGCTAATGCTCTAACTCATCTACATGTAAGAGCACGAAGGTTACTTCTGAAGGCCATACCGAAAAGATGAGCGTTCTAGGCGGTGGAACAATACGAGTCTCTTCGGAGGCGGACACCGACGCCGCTTGTTTCCAATCGAATTGGTGCTGCAGGTCAATGCTCATCAGTTTGTAAGGAATGTTGCCATCGCTGTAACGCTGCGGCTGGTCTTGAATATTAATTTGAAGATCGAATTTGCTGTAGACCTTGTTGTACTCAGAAAAATCCACCACTTTTTCCCATCTCGGCTCAAAGAACCCCCATTCTTCGCTACTATCTGGAAGATTATCGTACTCGAACTTCTTCCGAGGATTGTCTTCGTGTTTCATGGTGAGCGTTCTCGTCGACGGCTGATCGTAGCTGCCGGGGTTGGAGGTCAAGCTGATCTCGACGTCCGATAAGTCCATATCAAGAGGAGAAGATGTTGCTCCTCCCTCCCCATGCACAACAACTACCTTGCCGTGGACGACCGTTGATGTTGCATCAGCACTCGGGTCGACTTTATGAAGCAACTTAGCCTGGTCTTGCAGAATTAGAGCGCGAAAGCTATGCACTTGTTCAATTATTGAGACCTACCCTACTATTCTTGTCACTCAATCAAGGAGCTATCTGTGCTGGTAGGTACCATCAAAGACCGTCGAGGTGGTGACGCTCCCTTGTGGTTCGAATCTAATGTGTGGCTGCGCCTCATCCGCACGTGATAAGTCCCAAGCTGCAATTATTTCACGGTTTACAACTTCTAGAATACGCCTTAACCGCAAGATAAGCATTCCTAGTCGAGGTTGTACGCCTCGCCTCTTGTTGCGGTATCTGTTCTGCGGATGGTAGTTGTCTCGCTCTAGACTGCTCAAATCGAACAGATCGAGGGGAATGTTGCTCAGTTTGCGGCCTCGACGAAGATGACTGATCGACTGAGGGTAGGCATATTTGGTGGTGAAAAAATCCACTGTTTTCTCCGTGTCAGATGATACTCCTGTAGTGACATCCAGAAATGAAGCCGAGCGCACTTCTGCATCATATTGCGTGATCGTCGTTGTTACGTTGCTAATAACAGCATTACCTGGAAGTTATGAGAAAATTTTTTTTATGGAATTTATTTTATCGTCATGATCCTTCATCTACTTCGTCTATTTATTTATAATCAGACTAACACGAGGAGGACTTTTTCTTTTGCATATATTCTAGAACTTCTAGAAGAGCTGCTTATTTCGTTGCATTCCTTCGACAGTGGCCATAGCTCTTCAAAACGAGACAGATCCGGCAAAAAAAATAATATGCTCCTAAGGAAGAAGATCAGCATCAGTGCTTATGGATCTATTAAAATTCAGGTGATACCGCCATAAACATAACTCGTAGCCGCTGTGACACCATCATATACCGCAGTCTGAAAAAGCGTCGCCATTTTGAACGGATTTAAACCTGAAAGATGGTCCAGATATTACCTTAATAGCAAGTGGAGTTCCTATTGTGTTGGTATGTGTGGTCTAATTCATCTAGCTCTACTTCGTATTGTTCATAACAATTTATTATACTATTTGACCAAAGAAAAAGAAAAAGTTGTGAGGGGTTCCAGATTCATTTTTCGTTTCACAAACAACTACTTCCAAAAAAAATTAGGAGGACCTCCTCGTCCTCCAACTTCGTTCTCTGTCAGTGCAGTATTCACCTCCCAGAAAGCAGATTCCGGCGCATCGCCTCCATCACCACCAACGGGTTCGAGAAAACGGCTATTAGAAACTTGTAATAGTGGTCCTCCTAGAGGTAGAGGAGATTATACTACACCGACTGCTGGCTACTTCAACATCGAGGTGAGGACTACAATGAGTCTCATTTTTCAATATCCTTCTTCATGTACATACAAGAGCTCGAACTTGCTCTGCCTATTTAATTTAAAGATGTACGCACTAGCTTTAGATGTTGTGGGAGGCGGGATCTTATATATAAAATGGGGGTGCAAAAGAGGGAAGAAGGTTCGTTGTTGGAGGTGTTTTTTTAGCGACCTAATAATACGTTGAAAGAATGGTTCAATGTGTATTAGTCACCATAAGATCGGTAGAAGCGCGTCTCTTTTCTGATCTATCCAGTGCCGATACTAGAAACGGTCCCGCCAGGTGAAAGAATGCGGAGCTATTGCTATACCCGAATAGGCATAGTAGGAAGGCCCTCGGCCATCCGGAGAGAGGCATCATGTTGTTCCACCTCTGTATGTGTTTTACTAAGAACTAGAAAGATGAAAGAGGAAGCTTTATTCTTGTTCTTGACTAGGTCTTTCTGTACAACCCAAACGGTTCGGGACTACACTTCTTTTTCTCCTACGGCTTTTGTGTTTTCAAAGTCTTGTCACATGGATGTGAACAGCGCGTGATTTATTATATTAAGGCAAATACTTACATTCATTAGAGACGCGGGCATAGGGTAGAGTTTTTTTTTGAGAGGTGGGAGAGAGTAGAGCTCCTTGCGCTTGAGCTTGAGACTTTATCTATTGATCATTCAACAGTAACCGATACTCCGAACAATTGAGAAAGCCCGATAGGCTTTTTCCTTTCTCTACCCTTTTTCTTGACCGATTCGCCAATTTGATGCACTCTTTTGTGGCTCTCTCCCTCTCCTCCAGTGCTAATTCATGCTCTGAAACAAGATAGAACAATAAAAACAGGCCAGCACAGGTTTTTACCAAAAACCTGGGTTGTAGAATCTACAGACTTAGACTAGAACTACATCTAGATGCATGATGCAGGGATATTATGAAAAATTCTTCTATTCTGAACAGTTCATGCTTGTTACGTGGTCGTAGGTGACTGATCGGAAAGCGAAAGCAGACAACTGGAATGGGATGAATCAATCGATTAGGAAAGAAAATTAGGGGGGATCATGATTTTGCTGAAATTGAAATCTATAAATATGAGTCCTGGAGGACCTGGAGGGAAGGGGAATGCGCTGCAGACCTACCTACATATATAGAAGACGATCACTACAACTACCTAGTACTTCAAATAACTGGTAAGCGTGAGATAAGAGCCGAGAAATTTAGGGAGTAGTATTAATTTGACACTTACTGAACGTATGATCACATTGCACTATCTTGAGTACAGTTTCAACTGTACGATAGTACCTACACTAAACATTCTGCAGACACTGACGAATGGGTAAGGGGTCACGACACGGGATCACTCAAAAAAACGGGAGAATAAATCAATCTTCGACGTTACTACTTGGTAATGAAAATTGTGGTACCTACCTATACCTGCTTGACCCATAAGGATACGGATAGGATACGGATAGAATACGAGTCGGCTCGCCTCGTTAAGAACTACTTGGTCATGATGGATGAATCGTGCGTGATATTATGCAATATCTATGCTGACAGTGTTGACATAACATGCTTCGTCCATCAATGGATCATAGAAAAACTTGGATGCGGTAGTATGTACATGTAGCCACTGCGCGAAGGAAAATGTATGACATTTTATGATCTACTGTAAATGTTGAGTAGACCACGACAGGACATGCAAATCGAAATCAACTGAAACTGTAATGATTGCAATATGAATATTTATTTTCTCGTCTTACATCAACTAGTACATCAGACTACATTTACATTTAGTAGCAGAACTATCTATGCACTTATGCTCATCATCTTCGCCTTTGACTAAGCCAGGAAGTGAGCCTGTAACATACGATTACAAGAACCATCTTTAACTTCTTGGACTTCTTCATTGCTATGGTGCTGTCTCAACATAGGTAAACATCCTCTTTACAGCACTGAAGAGTATTATCTCTATCAACATGTCCATGAGGCCACTATCTCTATCGTGTTGTGATCAAGCTCTAACTCGTCTTGATGCTTGTGTGTCGCTTAGTTTTCGACGACAAAAGTGGCGTCACAGTGGATCTTGCGTTCTGATTCTGAATCATAGACTTCTACTAGTAGACTCCACTTCTTCAACTTGCTACAACCTTCTATACAACCTACTACCTCTTGTAGTACTAGTACACTCGTCTCCTCGTTTAGCACTGCTACACCCTCCTCGTCTAGCACTACACCCTCCTCGTCTAGTACTAGTACACCTTCCTCGTCTAGTACTGCACCATCCTCGTCTAGTACTACACCCTTCTTGTGTTAGTACTACACCCTCCTTGTGTTAGTAGTACATATTCTAATTGTAGTTTCTCAATTTGTTTCTAGGCACAACAAATAGCTTCCACAGTTGCAACTGCAGGCACCTCTCCCACATCTCGTGTCGCAACTTCGCCCGCCACAGGCTGTTTTTTAGAGCTGCGCTCGATTTCTCGTTTCTTTGAACAAAAATATTCTAGCAAAGATTTCTCGTTTCTTCCTAGGAAAAGGAAAAGTAGAAGTACTGACTATAGCAGAGCAATTTATAAGGTTTCACAGCTCGCATGGCATGGAGTAGCATGGAGTGCATGGAGCGCAGAGCTTTAAGGGGCGCAAGAAGCTCCCCCTTTAGCTCCATGCTACCATAACAAGTAGGAAAAGTAGAAGTACTGATTATAGAAAGAAACAAGATTGGAAGATAGAAATCAGTCTGATCGCGGAGGTCTTAACTTGCGGCTGAATTGCTGGATCTGTCTCGTCTGGATGGGCTGCAGGTTCTTGTTCTTCTGTGTTGTGATATAATTGAGTGTGGTGCAAGTATGTACATGTAGGAGTCAGCGATATCTCTATCTCTATGAAGTGAGTAGATCAGCATGAGTTGTTCTTTGGTGAGCCATAATATGAGTCTGTCATCGGTTATTTGTGATGTTGGTATGTGTAGCTCTGTGAGTTGTAAGTACCTTCTGGTGCTGTTGCCGCTGCCACAGGATGGGCTGCATTTTCGGGAGCGTCAATAACGTTAGAACCGCGTGGTTTTGGGAACACGAATACCCAATCCCGTGCACCACTTGATTGACCATCAGAAGCGGGCTGAAATTCGGCGATTGTTATCTCGTTCCTTGTTTCACGCTCCACATTACTGGAACACTAAGCTTAGCGCTCATCCTAATCCATTCCGAAGACCATCCTGAGACCGTTTCCTCCTTGCGAACGTCTCTAGGATAGATGCTTCTGAAGATGGATGAGGGGAAGCCTTAATGAAAGCTGATTTTGGGTAGAAGGTTGGTTGGCTCCATGTTGAGACGAAGCCACTGTAGCTGCGTGACCTTCAGAGGTTTTGCATTGGATTCCGAGACATCGACATGCACAACCAACTTCGCGTAATCGCCGACCTCGACCAAGCCAGCTTCGATGATTAGAAAACCCCTTGTTCTTGATGATCTTATCGAAGTTGTAAGACGCGTTGTAGAGTTGGACGAGTCAAGGTTCAATGACAGCAAGATTTCCCAAGCCTCTAGTTGTACTGCCTCAACTATCTTCTGTCGTGGAAGTTACTGCAATCACAATTACTCAAAGTAGTAGTAGTACTCGGAGTTGCAATCAGCTTAAAGACAAGGGATGTGGATGGCCAACCGTTTCCTCCCCTCTGTTGGCATCCATCAATTCGAAGAGCTTCTTCGAACCCTCGTAATTGCGGAAAGTTAGAGCGTGTATTATATCATACCCGACCCTTTTGCTTTTCTGCCATGATCGTTTTCATATCATCATGTTCAAGCTAGCATGTTCTTCTAAAATCGAGAAACGACTTTTGCTGTGCATTTCGTGGGCTTTATAATCATATTAATCCAAATACAAATTCAAATAAGGGATATTAGGGAAAGGGATGCGACCAACGTTGTTATGCAAATTATACTACGCCTTAAGTCTATAATCAGCGTTCCTCGCGGTGGCAAAAGACTGCTCGCTTCCAGCAGCTGCCCAGCGGTTTTTCGATTTTTCCAATCAAATTCATTGCTGTCGATGTTGATCAGTTGGTCCTCTGGCTGAAGTGACTGGAAATCAAAATCCGCATATGCCGCTGTCTGATGATCAGTATCCTCAGAAAAGTCGTACTTCGCGGCCGTGGCTGGTGCGTGTGGTGAAGGTGATACTGTGGTGATCAGATAGATCTAGATATCATTTTTTACGTCGACCAGAATAAGAATTATCAACTGTTGAGCAAGGAAAGTCTGGAAATGCAGAAATTGAAGTATGAATATGAAATTTTTATCTAAGTAGAATATTGGTTATCCAGAAGCTCTTTCACTAATCAACACCTTTAATATCTTCACTATCTGGCGCCGCGCTTTCTTGTGCAGTCTTTGGTAAGACAAACACCCAATCCTTTTTCGCACCATCCGACATATACACAGCCATAGATTCCCTTTCGTCTCGACTGCCAATATATTCTTGCAACACTTGAATGTCGATTCTGGGCGTTAGATCGTCAGAGGTACCTTCAGCGGTCTGGCTGGGCTCATTAGATTTAGAGGTGTAGGTATTACAATAGCAATAAAGTTGAAGTTCCTTGTTGAAGGTGGGAATACTAATTCTGTTCGCCTCGCACATTTCTTTTTCTTGGCACGCTTCCTCTTGAAAAGTGGTGTCAAACTCCAATAGACATAGAGCGTCTAAAAATGAAATGCTGCATGATCTGCAACTCAAGTCTTAAATATAAAATACAACACATACACATAGTTTCTTGGCTGAAAAAAAAGGTCTGTCACGTTGTCTTCTACGCTGTTATTTGATTCTTGTTCCGATGTTCAAAGAGATGGCTTCTTCGGTGTTTGGGAGCACTCCAGTTTCTTGCACCCTTAAGAAAAATGTCTGACGACCGGAATTTGAATTTAATGTCGCCCGAAGCACCGATCTCGACTCCAACAACGAGCTTCACTTCCTGCAAGGACAAAAACCATGTTAGACTATGACCAAGGTGAAGATGAACAACAACAGCAACAACTTCTACTCCTGCCCCTCCTCCGACTACTATCACTGCCGCGACTACTACTACTACTACTACTAATGCACTCCTGTGAATACTTCATCTCCTGTAAGGCAATGTATTGAAGTTACTCGGGGGAGGCACAACAACACTAAACGATGAGAGTCACAAGAGTTGAAAATTTACGCATCGAAATTGAATGATGTAATATTGCTGGTTCTTGGATAATGCTAGTTCGTGGAAAGGTAAGACCTTCCGCCAATCTCTGATCCTCAGCCTGCAGCAAAGGCCTGAAGGGTATAGCACAACCTTACTTGCTACAATTTCTTGAGGCTTCTTCTATTTCTCTATTCTTCATATACTTGGTATATTTTTTCATATAATCAAAGTCCTCACTTAGTCTCGAACGACTAAAAAATAGACCCACATGACCAAGTCATTGGGTAGATATTAAAGTAGTTTGAAACTTTCACTTAGTACCTGTTAAGTCATCTCGTTAATTGGTGTTGGAGGTGACAAGTTCGCTCGAGCCTTAAAGATTGATCAGTCATCGTGTCGTCCATGAAGGCAGAGAACGCACCCAACCTCGTATTGCGATTGAAATTTAGAGTATGCACATGCAGCATCTACTTGTTGTTACGTGGTCACAACTACAGCTGAGCCTGAAGATCGTCGATGTAAGATGGAGAACAATAATGGGAATGTGTGTATCGTCAGAAGAGTTTGAGATTCACTGTTTATTCAATTGATTATCATCCTATGAATTTTCAGCTTTGAAGAAATGCAGAAAAAATCTCTAGTAACGCGCGCGCGGGGGGTGCGCTCGCGGGGCGCCGCCTCGGGCCCAGGCTCAGGCTTGGGCTCCGGTTTGGGCTCCGGTTCGTTTGGGCTCAGGTTTGGGCTCAGGTTTGATTGGGCCCAGGTTTGGGCTTAGGTTTGGGCTCAGGTTTGGGCTCAGGTTTGGGCTTAGGTTTCTTTGGGCTCAGGTTTGGGCCCAGGTTTGGGCTCAGGTTTGGGCTCAGGTTTGGGCTCAGGTTTGGGCTCAGGTTTGGGCTCGGGCTCGGGCTCAAGCTCAGGCTTTCTTCGTGGGGCTTAGGTTTGGGCTTAGGTTTGGGCTCAGGTTTGGGCTCAGGTTTGGGCTTAGGTTTGGGCTAGGGCTCAGGCTCGGTCGGGCCCAGGTTTGGGCTCAGGCTCGTCAGCCTCGAAAGCCGCCGGTTTGAGCTCGCGGGGCGCCAGCTCAAGCTTGCGGGGCAACAGCTTAGGCTCACGGAGCAGCGGCGCGGGCTCACGAGGCGCCAGCCCGTGCTCGCGCTCGCGGGGCGCAAGTTCAGACTTGGAGGGCGCCAGCTTGGGCGCGCGGGGCGCCAGCACAGGCTCGCGGGGCGCCAGCTCAGGCGCGCGGGACGCCAGCTCGGTCCTGCGGGGCGCCAGCTCAGGTTTTCGGGGCGCCCGCTCAGGCACGCGGAGCGTCATATCGGTCGCGCGTGGCGCTGCCTCAGGCGCGCCGGTTGAAGCAAGCCTAGAAGGCGCCAGCTTTGGCGCGCGGGGCGCGGGGCGCCAGCTCGCGCCTGCGGGGCGCGGGCCCGGGCTCGTTGGGCGCCGGTTTAAGCTTGCAGGGCGCCAACCCGGGTTCGCGGGGCAGGCGCGGGCCCTGGCTCGCGGGGCGGCGGCGCAGGCGAGCCGGCTCAGGCTCACCCCGGGCTGGGGCGCGCCACCAGCTTGGGCCTGCCCCCGGCCAGGGCTCACTTCCCACTCCTGCTCACTCCCGGCTCAAGCTCACCCACGGCTCGAGCTCGCCCCGGGCCCGGGCTCCCCTCCGGCTCGCCCCCAGCTCAAGCAAGGCTTGTTACCGCCCCCGCCTCAGGCTCGCCCGCCCCCGGCCCAGGCGCACCCAAAGCTCAGGCCCAAAGGGCAGCCGCCCGGGCTCAAGAGGCGGCGGTCCGGCCCAGCAAGGCGGAAGCCCAGGCAAACCCGCGGCGTAAGCTTGCAGGGGCGGCAGTAGACTGCAAGCGAAGCTGCGAGAATGAAAGCCAAGCCGTATATTCTGCGAGGCAGCGCGCTCGCGTACCGTTTTGAAAATGGAACTGGAAGCGAAGCACACCACAGCCCAGGAACTGAAGAACCCACAACACGAAAGAGGGAGCACACGACAAGAAGCGCCCCCCTGGTGCGGAGCGATGGGCGGACGCCGTCAGCCCAGGCACCGCGGCGACCGATAAGGCGAGCGCCCCAAAACTGGGAACAACAAAGCAAACAGAATACGCCGAGGCCGGCGACAGCGAAAAAGATAAGACCACAAAAGAACAAGCCCTGCCGTACCATTTGCGTGCGCACCAAAAGGCGCCGACATCGCGGGAGGCTCTGTCCTCAGTTCTTTCATAAAAAGACGGGCGACACTGTTGCAAATTTTTCAAATGAACAACCGCACAAACCAAAAAAAAAGACGGCGGCGAGGGTGTTCCGCTAGGGAACACGGTTCGCCACGTTGGATCCAGAGGGGTAATTTCCCTAGCTGTCAATGCCTGAGCCTTAAACTGATGATAAGCGTTCCTAGAGGTGGAACACTTAGTTGATGTTGATCATCACCGTTGAAAAGAGCGGCAGCTGTTCCTCTATGTTGCCTATCAAAACGATCGATGGGTATCTTGCTGAGAACTGCACCAACCGTGCCAGATTCAAGAGTCGGGAAGTCGACTCCTAAAGGATACTCGAAAGCATCCTCCCTAGTTCCCGTAGCGAGATCCAGAAACGACGATGCACCTGCAACGTGGTCATGGATGTGTGTCATAATCATGGAAATTTTTGGAGAAAAAGAAGGAAAAGCAGGATTAGGATACTAGGAAGACAGCTTCTGCATCGGTACGGGAAAGATGTCTTGATCTTTTTAGAACTTCTTTCCTCTATCTTCATGATTATGATAACAGATGGTCTTGTTCTTGTTCTCTTATGATAACAGATGGTCTTGCTCTTGTTCTCTTATTTGTTGATAGTTCTCTGAGAACAATTTTTTTCTACTTATGTGCTGCTCAGTGTCAGTGTCCACGACTCCTATAAAAATACCTCCAGCAGAAGCAGATGAAACGTAAGTCTTGGCAGCTGTGACACTTTCATACAACGCGGCTTTGAAAAAACTTGCTGCTTCCGTCGCTGCTCTGATCGGATCTGGAGCTGGACAGAATGGAGGTGAATAAGGGAGGTTATTGTGGTTGTGGTAAATCAGTTTGTCTGACCAACGTTCATGTCCACATCGACAAAAAAGATCATCAAGCTCGGAATAAAGCTACAGAAAGTGTCTTGTTGCTTCTACTTCTTCTTCTTGTTCTCCTTCTACCTCTGTCCTACTACTTCGTCTTGTGTCCTACTGCTGCTGTCCTACAACGTCACTTCTCATGATTTGTCAGAAAGAATCTATATACAAGCTGGAGACTTAACCCCCGGGGATCCTAAATCTACTGGCGAGTTATACTTTTTAGTGCTGTGGCAGCACAGTAGGCTGGCTCGGCAGACCCAGGTCTTTGCAGGCACCGGTCGTTGCACCTACGGCCCATAAGTTTGCCACGGAGCGTGGCGGGAGGCCTTTACCTCCCCAGAGAGAGTTGCGCACCAGCGTCCGGGTGTCGTAACCCCTCTCGCGGCTCGGCCGGTGTTCGTGCACCGTCGCCCCTACGAGTCGATCAACCGGCACCCGCGAAGTTTCGGGTGCTCGCTCTTCGCGTTGGACGCTTTGGTCCGGGGCGCTTTGGCCCGGGTGCGCGGCTAATCCCTCGGCAGTAGCAGGCGCTGTCCCCGCGCTGGGGGACAAGGTCACTTTGAACCTCCAGCCCGCGCTGTCGGCCTACTACCGAGGCTTGAGCTCCCGCTCAACCTCTGGTCTCGGTTTGACTCGTGCCAGTGGTGAGTGGACCGCTCCGAGCCCTTATCCTTTCCTCAGCGGCACCTTCCTCCGGAGACCCCGACCAGGCTCCGGCTTCCTGGTGCGGACTTGAGTCGGCGGTCTGAGACTCGCATCCGCCGTTGAGGGGTTACGAGGACGTGTGCCGGCCTTTGCACATGTTTGCGTCAGGACCTCCCGCCGGCCAGCACCCGCGTCGGTGGTGTGCCGGGGCGGCTGCCGACCTCCACCGCGCTTGTCACTCCCGCGGGAGGGACGAACTCCCGGAGCGACAGCGGCAGCAGGGGCCGGCAGGCGTTCACATAGTTCAGCCAGCCGTAGTCGGGCGCCAGTGGACTGCTGAACCGTCTGCAGCTGTGGGATGGTGTTGATGAACAGTCTGTACTTGCCGTGTCTGGTCATGTAGTCTGCCAGGTTCCATTCGGGTTCTATGTAGACGCCCCACGGCCTGACATTGTTGTCGTGCCAGTGATTGGCTACGTCTACCGCGGTGTTTGCCACCACCGTGGATTTGCCACTGCATTTGATGAAGTTGTAAAGCACTGGCGTGCTGTTGATCAGCGCTACGAGGTCGGAGTTGCTGGCCCAACTCGGGAGCTGCTTCGCGGCGAGGCCTACCGTGGCCGCCTCCGGTGCCTCTATTCTGGCGGTGGCCCATCGACCATCTGCCAAGGGCTGCACTTGGATGAAGGTCTTCCCGCTGTGGTGATCATGACGCACCCGAGCGTCGGTTCGCCGTTTGGCCCGCCATTTGTTAGCGCGTCCGTGAGCAGGAAGCTCAGAGGCTTTGCGATTTTTTCTAGCCTGAGTTTGAGCCTGTTCACCCTGTGGGCCATCTTTTCGACGGCCGCAGTGGAGCGCAGGAGGGCTCTTCGTTGCCGCCGCTGCTTCGCCAACTCGTCAAAGGTGGCGCCTTCTGTCCGTGCGTAAAGGGGCCTCATGATCTCGTTCCCGGCTCTGTTTGCCGCGGATACGGTGATGACGTTTACCAGGCCCAGCAGTCGCTGGACTACTTTTTTGTCCAGCTGTCCTGCGTTGGCCTTCTGCCGGAGCTCGTTTGCAACTTCCGTGACTTGCTGGAGCGTGTTGTCTGGCGCCACAACATCAATTCCCGTTTTTGGGCTTGTGTCGTAGTGGAGAACCAGCATGCGTAGCAGTCGCCATTTTTTGTGATTAGGCTTGGTTGGCCCCTGGGGGGATTTTTTGTCGACTGTCGTCCAGGAACCTTCCAGAGAGCGTATCTTTTCTCTCACCTAAGTTAACTCACCAGATAGTATAATCACATCCCCCGCAAGCTCCTCCAGTGCATATACAAACTGGAGACTTAACCCCCGGGGATCCTAAATCTACTGGCGAGTTATACTTTTTAGTGCTGTGGCAGCACAGTAGGCTGGCTCGGCAGACCCAGGTCTTTGCCGGCGCCGGTCGTTGCACCTA